ACACCACGGTGTTCCCCTTGCGCAGCAAGGGTGACGTCACTGAGGTGTTGATCGACTGGATCCGCGCAGCTCGTCTCCAGCTCCGAGAGAGTTTTGGCTCGGACTTTCCTGTTCTGCGTCTGCACTCTGACTGAGGCGGGGAGTTTTCCTCTGCCCTTCTGGGAGCCTTCAGTCGTGCACAGGGCATCCGCCAGACCTTCACGCTTCCGGCCTCTCCACAGCAAAATGGGATTGCTGAGCGCCGCATTGGCATGGTCATGGACGTCGCTCGTACGTCCATGATCCATGCGGCTGCTCCCCATTTTCTGTGGCCGTTTGCGGTTCAGTACGCGGCGCATCAGATCAACCTTCAGCCCCGGGTCTCCTTGCCAGAGACCTCCCCCACCTTGCGGTGGACCGGAAAGGTTGGCGATGCGTCTGCGTTTCGGGTCTGGGGATCTCGGGCGTTTGTCCGGGACTTGTCTGCGGACAAGCTGTCCCCCCGTGCTGTTCCCTGCGTCTTCCTTGGCTTCCCCCCTGACGCGCCTGGTTGGCAGTTTTACCACCCCACCTCGCGCCGTGTTCTGTCCTCCCAGGACGTCACCTTTGACGAGTCGGTGCCTTACTACCGTCTCTTCCCCTACCGCACTGCGCCCCTCCCCCCGCCGCCGCTCTTCCTTGCGCCAGGTCCCCCCCCCGGTAGACCCCCTCCCCCCTCAGGGTCCTGCCCCTTCAGGTGTGTCCCAGGTAGACGCAGTCGAGCCTGTCAAGGTAACTGTTGACTCTGGTGCTGAGTCTGGGGGTGCTGAGCCTGGGGGTACGGAGCCTGGGGGTGCGGAGCCTCGGGGTGCTGGTCTTGGGGGTGCGGAGCCTGGGGGTACGGAGCCTGGGGGTACTGAGCCTGGGGGTGCGGAGCCTGGGGGTGCTGGGTCTGCTCGTGTGGCCTCTGGCGGTGCTGGGTTTAGGGCCCCTTCAGGTGCTTCGTCGAGGCGGGAGCTACCCTCTCCACAGGAGCTGCGCGAGTGGTTTGCCCGGCGCTGGAGCCGTGCTGCTGGAGCTGGAGGTGCTGCTGTAACTGCTGACCCTGGGGTCGGCACTGGAGTTACTGGAGCCACTAGTCCTGGAGGTGCTCGTACTGGCGGTACTGGAGCTGCTGGGCCTGGGGGTGCTGCTGGGGCTGCTGGAGTTGGTCCTGCTGTTGGTGCTGCTGGAGCTGCTGGAGCTGGTGCTGCTTGAGCTGCTGGAGCTGCTGGAGTTGGTGCTGCTAGAGCTGCTGGAGCTGGAGCTGCTGGGGGTGTTGGCGCTGGTGGTGCTGCTGGCGCTGGTGCTTCTGAGGGTGCTGGAGTTGGCGCTGTTGGAGCTGGAGGTGCTGCTGGCGCTGGTGCTGCCGCTGGGGGTGCTGGTGCTGTCCCTGCTGGTTCTGGAGGCGCTGCGCGGCCGCGGCCGTACTTCGTTCCGCTCCTTGAGCAGGTTCTTGGTCTCCCGCCCTCTACTGGTTCTGCTCCTCCCTTAGAGTGTCCACAGCCTGTCCAGTCGCGGTCACAGTTACAGCCCGCCTCCCCCCTACCTGCTCCTTCTCCCTACACTGGTCCTACTGGAGGTCTTGCTGAGCGTCGTGAGCCTGCGTCTCGTCCTGCGTCGCCTGTTCGTGCTGCTCGCACTAGTAGTCGTGCTCCGCGTCCGCGTCCTCCTGCGGTCCCAGGCACACACCAGATGGCACTGCGTCCTTCCACTGCTCCTCTGCGTGTTCCGTTGCCGTCTCCTCCAGAGTCCTCTCTTCCTGTTCTTGCTGACCCGGAGTCTGACTCTCTTCGTGCTGCCAGTCCTACTGTCACGCGTCTCCTGGCTACTGTTGTCACTGACCCTTCCTTTGAGTCCACTGCTGCGTCTGCCTTAGTTGCTGAGCTTGTCGACTTTGCTGCTCGCTGTCGTCTCAACTACGCCGCTAGTCTCGTTGCTGAGTCTGAGTCTGTCTGTCCTCCGTCCGTCGGGGGTGAGTGTGCTCTTAGCACGGACGTCCTTGAGGACAGGCAGGAGGAGTTCTAGTGTTTTGCTGCTGCTTTGCCTCATCTCGTGTCCACGCTGATTGCCCCTGAGGGAGACCCGGATGCACCAGACATCCCGACTCCTCGATCGTACGCTAAGGCGATCGAGGGTCCCTACTCCTCACAGTGGCAGTCAGCCATGGACGCAGAGATGGCTTCCTGGAAGTCCACAGGCACCTACGTCGACGAGGTTCCCCCACCTGGGGCGAACATCGTCAGTGGCATGTGGATTTTCAGGGTGAAGCGGCCGCCGGGTTCTCCGCCTGTCTTCAAGGCGCGTTACGTGGCTCGAGGCTTCAGTCAGCGGCAGGGAGTTGACTACTTTCAGACCTTCTCTCCCACCCCGAAGATGACCACTCTTCGGGTGCTGCTGCACATAGCCGCTCAGCGCGACTACGAGCTTCACTCTCTTGACTTCAGCACAGCTTTCCTGCAGGGCAGCCTGCACGAGGAGATCTGGCTGCGCCGCCCACCTGGCTTCACTGGGTCGTTTCCCCCTGGCACCCAGTGGAGCCTCCGGCGGCCAGTCTACGGTCTCCGCCAGGCGCCCCGTGAGTGGCACGACACACTGAGGACTACACTTGCGGCTCTTGGGTTTGCTCCTTCTACTGCCGACCCGTCGCTGTTTCTGCGCACCGACACCTCTTTGCCGCCGTTCTACATCCTCGTGTACGTCGACGACTTGGTCTTTGCCACTGCTGACACTGCTGGACTCGCCCACGTGAAGTCCGAGCTGCAGAAGAGACACACGTGCACAGACCTGGGTGAACTGCGCAGCTACCTTGGCTTGCAGATCACCCGGGACAGAGCACAGCGCACCATTACCCTGACTCAGTCACACATGGTGCAGCAGGTCCTTCAGCGCTTCGACTTCACGTACTCCTCGCCTCAGGCCACTCCTCGGTCTACTCGCCACTCGCTCTCAGCTCTGCCTTCGGATGAGTCCGTAGAGCCGAGTGGCCCGTACCCAGAGCTTGTTGGCTGCCTCATGTACCTGATGACCTGCACACGACCTGACCTTGCATACCCTCTTAGCATCTTGGCACGCTATGTTGCTCCTGGGAGACACCGACCAGAGCACATGGCTGCAGCGAAGAGGGTGTTGCGCTACTTGTGCAGTACGTCGGGCATGGGGCTAGTGCTTGGAGGGCGACGTTCAGTGGTCCTCACAGGTCACGCAGACGCTTCTTGGGCTGACGACCAGGCTACGCAGCGGTCGTCACAGGGTTACACCTTCAGCCTTGGTTCCGGCTCCGTTTCGTGGCGGTCTACCCGCTCGTCTTCTGTTCTCGGCTCCAGCTGTGAGGCTGAGATCTACGCGGGGGCCATGGCTGCACAGGAGCTACGCTGGCTCACCTACCTGCTGACTGACCTAGGAGAGCCGCCTCGTTCTCCTCCAGTTCTGTACGTAGACAACAAGGCCATGCTGGCCTTGTGTCGGGAGCACAGACTGGAGCACAGAACGAAGCACATTGCTCTTCGCTACTTCCTTGCTCGTGAGCTGCAGCAGCGTGGTCAGCTGCGCCTTGCTTACGTGGCCTCTGAGGCCAACACTGCTGATATCTTTACCAAGGCACTTCCGCCTTGTGATCATCAGCGCTTCTGTACGATGCTAGGTCTTGTGCCTACTTGGCCTCACTTGCTCACTTCTTGACCTTGCTTGTACTGTGATCTTTCTATACCTGCACTTGCTTGTTTACCTTTATATATGATCTTGCATGTGAACTGGCCTTGTGGCCTTGAACTTGTGCTCGGAATGTGTGGTGACGTTGTGATCCACCCTGAGCTTGCTTTGCTTTGCTTGACTGGTCTTGTGACCTCTTGTTCTCCCCCACTTTGCCTATGGGGGTGTGTCAAACTCATATGCTATAGTCTGTGTAGGCTGTAGTGGGGTAGACAATATGGGGTACAACACTTTTAGGTTTTCCTACTTGTACCCACCTGCTTGCTAGTTCACTCATCCCTCGTTCTTTCACACAATTAGTCTGATGGGAAGACGAAATACACTGGGCTGTTGTGATATTGTTGTGTATTGTAAGGAAAATTCCTTTTCCTTACTTCGCATCCCTGCTCAACGCGTACATCACTGTAGCACCACAGTCAGCACCGTTACCACTCGCAACCCTCGCATCGACAATCCGCCCGCCACCTTCGCACATCGCACCCGGACCTCACGGCTCGGCAGGTAACCCGCGCTCCGGGCCTCCGCTTCGACACTTTTTCCCAACCTCAGTCCCAGGCCCGTCGCGCGACAACCAAATCCTTCAAGATGCTGCCGAAGGCGACGGAAAACGGCTGCGCACGTTCTGAGCGGCAACGCTAACTTAGTGTTGAACACTGTTAGTGGCGCTAACGGAAACACGGAGGTCCTGTGGCTCACGGATAGGCTTATCGATCGTGGCTGGACTCGGCCGTACCTATCGCGGATCGCCGCGCGTTTAAGCGTTTCTCGCGCGTGCCCCTTTTCCGTCGCGGATAGCCCCGCGTTAGAGCATTAGAAGCGCGCGCCGATTTCCGCGGTGGGGGTTTTCTGCGCGCTGAAGCATTATAAGCGCGCGCCGTTTTCCGTTTTACGCGCGCTGAAGCATTGTTAGCGGCGCGGCGCGCCCCGCTTGAAAGTCATAGTCGTCATGGTTACCAGAGCATCGGCGGCCGAGATAACTGAGGACGTCGAGCAGCCACTTCTGTCGGAAGAATCCCGACGGCTAGCCGTTCATTCCGACGGTTTCTTTCAACTTGACGACGACCCTGCAAAATTTGAAGTTATCCAAACTGACGGTTTTCACGAGACAGGAGTCTGGCAGAAACGGCCTGAGGACCTGGAGGGACTGGAAGGGTTGGAAGCCGGAATACCAACATTGGAAATTCCCTCCATTTTCGAGGGGAATGTTAGTGTTGACACTCAAAGCCTGCTAGGACAGAAGGGAGTTACTATGGGGGAAAAGGAGGAGGAAGAGGGGTTAACATCGTGTGAAGATGCGTTTTTGTTGGATAGTGCGATGGGCGGCGGTGGGAGCGGCAGTGGGAGGAGCAGTGGCAGCAAGGCGTGGGGCGGTGGGAGCGAGGGGAGGAGCAGCAGGAGACGTGTCACGGCAGCAAGTGACAACCTCGAGAGCCTGGACTACGAGTAGGTGATTTCTTATCTGATAATGGTGGTGATGGTCGGTTGGGTGCGGTTCAGCAGTCAATAGATTCAGACAGATGATTTGCTTCACTTGTGACGTGTGATGGCAGCAAGTGACAACCTCGAGAGTCTGGACTATGAGTAGGTCATGTGGGTGGTGGTGGTGGTGATGGTCGGTTTGGTGCGGTGCAGAAGGTAGGGAATCCGGCCGGATGATTCTTCTGATTCGTGAGCCATCATGGCAGCAAGCGATAATCTTGAGAGCCTAGACTACGATTAGGTGATGTGGGTGATGGTGATGGTGATGGTGATGGTGATGGTGATGGTGATGGTGATGGTGATGGTGATGGTGATGGTGATGGTGATGGTGATGGTGATGGTGATGGTGATGGTGATGGTGATGGTGATGGTGATGGTGATGGTGATGGTGATGGTGATGGTGATGGTGATGGTGATGGTGATGGTGATGGTGATGGTGATGGTGATGGTGATGGTGATGGTGATGGTGATGGTGATGGTGATGGTGATGGTGATGGTGATGGTGATGGTGATGGTGATGGTGATGGTGATGGTGATGGTGATGGTGATGGTGATGGTGATGGTGATGGTGATGGTGATGGTGATGGTGATGGTGATGGTGATGGTGATGGTGATGGTGATGGTGATGGTGATGGTGATGGTGATGGTGATGGTGATGGTGATGGTGATGGTGATGGTGATGGTGATGGTGATGGTGATGGTGATGGTGATGGTGATGGTGATGGTGATGGTGATGGTGATGGTGATGGTGATGGTGATGGTGATGGTGATGGTGATGGTGATGGTGATGGTGATGGTGATGGTGATGGTGATGGTGATGGTGATGGTGATGGTGATGGTGATGGTGATGGTGATGGTGATGGTGATGGTGATGGTGATGGTGATGGTGATGGTGATGGTGATGGTGATGGTGATGGTGATGGTGATGGTGATGGTGATGGTGATGGTGATGGTGATGGTGATGGTGATGGTGATGGTGATGGTGATGGTGATGGTGATGGTGATGGTGATGGTGATGGTGATGGTGATGGTGATGGTGATGGTGATGGTGATGGTGATGGTGATGGTGATGGTGATGGTGTTTACGCGTTCTTTCCTGTTTCTTCTGCGCCTCTCTCCTTGCATCTGCCCACCCCCCTCAGGGTTCTCGATTTGGAGTGGCATCACGGCCAGTGGCAGGCGATGACCCAAGCCGACCGAATATTCCACACCATCCTGCGCTGGCTGCTCGTGTTGCTCATGCTGTTTCTTTACTGCCTCCCTGTATTCCCTTGTGTGTCTCTCTCTCTTTGTACCTGCTCCTCCCGCAGGGTTCTCGATTCGGAGTGGCACCACGGCCAGTGGCAGGCAATGACCCAAGCAGACAGAATCTTTCACACCACCCTGCGCTGGCTGCTCGTGCTGCTCATCGGCACGTGCACCGGCCTCCTCGCTTTCCTCGTCAACATCTCAGTGGAAGCTATCGGCGGTGCCAAGTTCGGGCTTGTCTTCTCGCACATCAAAGGCCAGAAGTGAGTCCCCCCTACATCTCTGTTTCCCGTGTACGCTCCTCGTGCTGCTCATCGGCACGTGCACCGGCCTCCTCGCTTTCCTCGTCAACATCTCAGTGGAAGCTATTGGCGGTGCCAAGTTCGGATTGGTATTTTCACACATCAAGGGACAAAAGTGAGTGTCGACCTCTTCCGTAAGGAAGGATGTTGCTCATCGGCACGTGCACCGGCCTCCTCGCCTTTTTCGTCAACATTTCAGTCGAAGCCATTGGCGGTGCCAAGTTCGGATTGGTGTTCTCGCACATTAAAGGCCAGAAGTAAGTTCGTTGCATCATTTCGTTTGCCAGTGAGTGGTTGCAGTCAGGTAATGCTGCTCATCGGCACGTGCGCCGGCCTCCTTGCTCATCGGCACGTGCTCAGTGGAAGCAGTGGGTTCCGGCATTCCCGAGGTGAAGGGGTACCTCAACGGCGTCAGCACGCCTGCTGTGCTCTCCGCCAAGACTCTCATTGTCAAGGTGATAGTCGTTCCCTCCCATTAAGTTGATGTATTTTGAGAATTCTAAAAAACCATATGCCAACATCCATGCTGCTCTCATCTGAGTGCCTCAAAAGGCAGTGGGGGCCCACTCTGGTATTCCCGAGGTGAAGGGGTACCTCAACGGCGTCAGCATGCCTGCTGTGCTCTCCGCCAAGACTCTCATTGTCAAGGTATAAATCCCGCATATCCTTCCATTCATCTGTTCTTGAGGTGCCACTGAGGCTTGAAGGGGTACCTGAAAGGATTCAAGACTCTCATTGTCTTTTGAGTCGACTCAAAAGTCAAGGGGTACCTGAAAGGATTCAAGACTCTCATTGTCTTTTGAGTCGACTCAAAAGTCAAGGGGTACCTGAAAGGATTCAAGACTCTCATTGTCTTTTGAGTCGACTCAAAAGTCAAGGGGTACCTGAAAGGATTCAAGACTCTCATTGTCAAGGTGATTATGGCGATAGTGCCATCATGCTCGAATACGGGTCCGGTATTCCCGAGATGAAGTGATGAAGTGTATCTGAACAAAGTCAGCATGCCGTTAAAGCCATAGTCCCAGCGAAACAAACTTCTGTGTTGTTCATATGTTGTTTCTCTCCGTCAGGAAGTTTAGAACTGATTACTTTTGAGTCGTCTCAAAAGTAATCTTTTCACAAGTGGCTTCATATGTTGTTTCTCTGTGTCAAGAGGTTTTGAACTGATCTTGCTGCCTCCCCCTCCCACCAGGTGCTAGGCAGCATAGCAGCTGTGGCAGGAGGGTTAGCAGTGGGAAAGGAGGGTCCTCTGGTGCACTGTGGGGCATGCATCGCCAGCATCCTGGGCCGTCTCAGCCATTGGATCTCCGCCCGCCGCGATCTCAGCCGTCCGCGCAAGCCGCGGATCCAGACAGCTAACTCCTTCGCCTCTTTGGGACTGTTCTTCAATCACGGGTCAATCAAGGCTTTAAGGACGCCGGTGTGGTTGCACAGTGACAGGGGTTTAAGAGATTTGGTGACGTGTGGCGCGGCTTCGGGTGTGGCTGCTGCGTTTCTTTCCCCCGTGGGCGGTGTGCTCTTCGCCCTCGAGCAGGTCACCTCCTGGTGAGATGGGGTTGTGCCTGGTGCTGATTCGGAGAGTGATTGAGAGTGGTTGGGGGCGGTTGGGAGTGATTTGGGCTTTAAGGACGCCGGTGTGGGTGCACAGCGACCGGGGGTTGAGAGACCTGGTGACGTGCGGTGCTGCCTCGGAAATTGCTGCTGCGTTCCTTGCTCCCGTGGGTGGTGTGCTGTTCGTCCTCGAGCAAGTCACCTCCTGGTGAGATGGGTGGTGTTTGGTGGTGGTTGAGAGTGGTGCATGGTAGTGATTGTGGTGCTGCCTCGGGTGTGGCTGCTGCGTTCCTTGCTCCCGTGGGCGGTGTGCTGTTCGCCCTCGAGCAAGTCACGTCTTGGTGAGAGGGGGTTGCTTGCTGCTGGTCATCGGGAGTGATTGGGAGCGATTGAGTGCAGTTGGGAGTGATTGAGGCTGTAAGCATGGCGGTGCTCCCCTGTCAACCTTTCCACCCCCATCCTCTCGTCTTGTCCCTTCCACCTCACACACACAGGTGGCGCAACTCCCTCACCTGGCGAATCTTCTTCACCAATGCAGTCGGGGCAAATGGTTCTCCGAGCCTTCTCGCCTGCATGCATCACCTTTTGAACTCGCCCCTGTTAACCTCTGCATCCCTATCCTCCCCTCCTCCCTACCAATACACACAAACAGGTGGCGCAACTCCCTCATCTGGCGAATCTTCTTCACCAATGCGGTAGTGGCCATGGTGCTCCCAACCTCACCCCACGCACGCTGTCCTCTCCCCCATCCCCATCCCCCCTTGGTCTGTCCACACAGGTGGCGCAACTCCCTCATTTGGCGAATCTTCTTCACCAACGCAGTCGTAGCCATGGTGCTCCGAGCCTGCATCTCCCTGTGCGAGGGCGACAGGTGCGGCGGCAGCTTCGGGTCCCGAGGCTTCATCCTGTTCGACCGAAGCAAGTCCCGAACCGACTTTGGGCTGCTGGAGGTGGTGCCGGTGGCGCTGCTAGGGATTGTCGGAGGGCTGCTCGGCGGGTTATTTAACCACCTCAACGTGAAGCTGTGTGCTTTCAGGAAGAGCAAGCTTCACAGGTGAGAGAAAGAGGGAGAGTCTTTGCAAGCAGACAGCCATACACGACTTTGGGCTTCTGGAGGTGGTGCCGGTGGCGCTGCTAGAGATTGTCGGAGGGCTGCTAGGCGGGTTATCTAACCACCTCAACGTGAAGCTCTGTGCTTTCAGGAAGAGCAGGCTGCACAGGTGAGAGAAAGAGGGAGATGCACAAGTGACCACATCCCCCCCCTTTACAAGTCCCGAACCGACTTTGGGCTGCTGGAGGTGGTGTCGGTTGCTCTGCTGGGCATAGTGGGCGGAGTGCTTAATCTAATCGATCCCCTCCTCACCTCAAGCCACACGCATCAGTACCTTTCCTCGTGTTTCCTCCCTCCCACCTCTATCCATCCAGGCACGGGGCATGGGTGAGGGTGCTAGAGGTCCTCCTCATCTCCCTCCTCACCTCTGCTCTTCGCTTCTACGGCCCCTTCCTCGCCTCCTGCCTGCCCTGCCCTCAAGACCCGGATGAAGGAGGGGACTTGCCGCAAGGTTCTTTCAACTGCCCGAGCATCATCGGAACGGGGGACCACAAGGCGTTTGCCTGCCCGGACGGGCAGTATAATGATCTGGCGAGCCTGGTGTTTACAACCAACGACGATGCGATTGGGAATTTGTTCCGCACTGGATCGTTTGGAATCTTCACGTGAGTTGGAAAAGGTACAGATGCGACGTGAGTTGCAAAAGGTACTGATGCGATGTAAGTTGCAAAAGGTACCGGATCGTTTGGGATATTCACGTGAGTGGGAAAAAGGTGGAAATGTGAGAAAAGGGGCAATTGTGATGGAATTTTCACGTGAGTGGGAAAAAAGTGGAAATGTGAGAAAAGGGGTTATTGTGACATCAGTACAGAAGGTGCAAATGTGACCCACACTCCCTCCTCTCTCGCCCCCACACCCACACCCACACCCAAACTCACTTACCTCCGCTTCCCACCCCCTCAACCCCCAGCTACTCCTCCCTCCTCCACTCCTTCACCACATTCTTCTGAGGCGCCACAAGTCGTCTCTTATCCCGCAATTTTCTGAGGCGCCTCAAAAGCCCTCCCAACCCCCAGCTACTCCTCCCTACTCCTCTCCTTCACCACATGCTTCCTTCTCACCACACTCACCTACGGCACAGCAGTCACACATTCACACACCCTTCTCCCGTATTCGTATTTTTCTCCTCCTTTTTCCCCCTCCCGCTCTCCTCTCCCCACCCCCCCAACCCCCAGCTACCCCTCTCTGCTCCTCTCTTTCACGATCTACTTTCTTCTCGCCACACTCACATACGGCACAGCAGTCCCGGCCGGTCTCTTCGTGCCCTCCATCCTCTGCGGCGCCTCCTACGGCCGAATGGCCGGCATGTTCATGGTAACCCTATTCGGCCCACACCGGGTGGGGGAAGGCACCTACGCGCTCCTCGGCGCCGCGTCTTTTTTGGGCGGCTCCATGCGCATGACCGTTTCGCTCTCGGTCATCTTGCTGGAGCTCACGGGCAGCTTGAAACTTTTGCCGCTGGTGATGGTGGTGCTGCTGGTGTCGAAATCGGTTGGGGATTTGTTCAATCGGAATATAGAGGACTCGCATGTTGACCTGAAAGGGATTCCGTACCTTCCGGAAAACTGCACGCATCAGGATTTCACTTTGTTCGAGGAAGACGGGGAGGAGGGTGAGGAGGTGGGGGCGGGTGTCCTCAGCAGAGTCACAGCAGACAGCAAACATCAGCAGCAGCAGCAGCAGCAGCAGCAGAAGCAGCAGGAGCAGCAGCAACAGAAACAGAAACAGCTGGTGACAGGGATGGGATGCAGTTTTGATGCAGCTGCTGGTATCTCCTCACCCAATTCCCCTTCGATGACTCTTCAACAAACCACCCCGTTCCCAAGATCCCCCACAGTAACCTTCGTGGTAACCCCCGCAGTAACCCCCTCAATTACCTCCCTTGCGGTAACCCCCTTGCTCGTTTCCTCCCCATCTGCTGCTCTCCTCAGTCCGAGATCCCCCACCACTCCTTCTGAGGCGCCTCAAAAGGGATCCCCCACCACTCCTTCTGGAACCCTCACCAACCCTGCCAACCCTGTCAGCCCTAGAACCAATCCTTTCAGCCCCCGTGGCACAACCCCGCTCACCTCTAGTACCCCCGCCAGTCCCCGTTGCACCAACCCTGTCAGCCCTAGAACGAGTCCTTTCAGCCCCCGTGGCACAGCCCCCTTCACCCCTAGAACCCCACGCAGGCGCGCAACTGCTGGCGATGCTGTTGGCGCTGCTGCGTCTGGTGTTTTCTCTGCCGGTTCTGCTGGTGCTGCTGCTGGTGTGTCGGCTGGTGCTGGTACTGCCACCGCTGCTGGCAGTGCTATCAGTGCTGGTGTTGCTGCTGCTTCTGGTGCTACTAGTGCGGGTTGCCTGGTGGCTTTAGAAGGTGTGACTACGGTGAGGCGAATCATTGACACTCTACGAGCCACGCAGCACAACGCATTCCCTGTGGTTGATTTCCTTGGTGGAAGACAGGACACGGACACAAGGGAGAGGGCAGGAGCAGGCGATGAGGAGAGAGCAGGGGAAGGGGCAACCAGCAGGAGCAGTAGCGGCAGCAGTAGCACGAGCGTGATTAGCAGCAACAGCAGCAGCGGCAGCGGAAGCAGCAGCAACAGCAGCATAATCAATGCTGCCAATGCTAGTACCACCACCACAACCAACTCAACCAGCAGCAGCAGCAGCAGCAGCAGTAAATCTGTTAGGACAGGGGATGGGTTGCTGCGAATCAGCAACAGCGGCAGGGTAATTACCCCACATGATGCTCAAACTACCCCCTCTCAAAGAACAACCTTCTACGGGCTCATTCTTCGAAAGCATCTTCTCGCCCTTCTCCACTCCAAGAAAGCCTTCTGTACCGCATTGCCCCGCCATGCAACCAATTGCACCACTCCGAGTGATAACCATGCGATTTACCCCGATGAACAGAGGGCAGAGATTTTGCAAGACTTCGCAGCCTCCCTGGTCGGGGAACTCCAAGTCCAAGACCTGGAGATTACCCCCGAAGAGGAGGGGATGGTCGTGGATCTACACCCCTACAGTAACCGGTCCCCATATATTGTTACGGAGGCTATGGGAATGCAAAAGGCGTATATGCTGTTCCGGAACCTGGGTTTGAGGCATTTGTGTGTGGTGCCTAAACCCACGGATGTGATAGGGATAATTACCCGCAAGGATTTTATCAATGCTATGAGTAGAGAGATGGATGCACCTGAGAATCACTGTAGGTGACATGATTTTGCAATGTTACAAAGTTCAGCATTTCAGTATTCCCAAGGCAACAGATTTAGGCATTCACATCGACATACCATATGAAGAATGAATGCTCAAGGAACATGCTCTAACTAATCTGGAACGACAGCTGACACAGTTTGGAATTGAATTAGATTACTGTAGCAGCAAACAGAACACAACCAATGTTGACAGCACATCAGCACTGGCACTTGTTTAAATGCACTGCTAAAAACATAACTCATAAGCTGAGATTCCCCTCCTTAAAACATGCAAAAGAAACAAGAATCTATGGATAACCATGTTACACCCCTTGCGTGCACTCTATCAATGATTATTCTTGTGCTTTCCACCTTTCTTCTTCCCACCACCCTTTTTGCCTTTTGGCGGGGGAGGCGGGGATGGGGGGGAGGGAGGGCTAGGAGGGGGAGGAGGCAGCGGGTCAGGCCAGGGGGTTGACTTGGCACGGACAGTTATGGGTAGTTGCGGTGATATAACCCACCTGCAAATGATTATGGAAGCAGAGAGAGAAGTGGAAAATTAGTCAAAAAAGGAGGGGAAAGAGGCAGGGGTCTGAGCAAACGAGTTGACTTGACAGAGGCAGTAATAGGCAGATGTGGGTAAATCAACCACCTGAGGATAATTTAGTGGGACAGCATGAGGGAAAGGATGTGGGAAGGGAGGAGGAAAGGCGTCAGGCCAGGGGGTTGGCTGCACAGACAGTATGGGCAGACGTGGGAAAGAGGGGGAAGGGGTGATGGATAGGGAGGGATGGGGCCGTGGGTGGGAGTGGGGGTGGGGTTGGGGGTGGAGGTGGAGGTGGGGGTGGAGGTGGGGGTGGGGGTGGGGGTGGGGGTGGGGGTGGGGGTGGGGGTGGGGGTGGGGGTGGGGGTGGGGGTGGGGGTGGGGGTGGAGGTGGGGGTGGAGGTGGGGACGGAGGTGGGGACGGAGGTGGGGACGGAGGTGGGGACGGAGGTGGGGACGGAGGTGGGGACGGAGGTGGAGGTGGGAAGGGGAGTATGAATGGAGGAATACATAGGGGCTGACCCCCTGGCCCAACACTTCAATAACATTATCACTCACTCTGCAGGGAACTTGCTGTCTTGGCGCGCTTCAGCCCTCCACCACCACACGAGCACGCGCCGCCCGCACTGCCCAATCAGCCGCAACTCTTTCTCGTTCCGCACCACCGCACCCAGCAGGTCGAACAGCCGCCCCTCCGCTCCCGAGCCTGCCACCGAACCTCCTTCTGGATCTTCTTCCGAGCCTGCTTCCGAACTTTCTTCCGAGCCTCCTCCCAGGCCTCGTTCCAGCTCAGGACCCCATTCGTCCCAGCCTCGCACCCAATCAGGAAGCTCCTCTTTTCTGGCCCATAATATCCGTGAGTTTAAGACATACCCATGCCATAGCATGCCCCTCCGTTGCTCCCCCTCCGAACCTAGGGAGTTGTAACTTGGTAAACCGGCTAGGAGGCGATCTGGGTGGTGTACCACCGTGTGCCATCCGATAAGAACAGACTCGTTATTGCACACAGGGCCCTGCACGGGCATCTGATAGCGCGTCTGCTTGCCAACCCTCAACGTGTTGGAAGACGCTGATTGGCTGCTGGCTTGTAACAGCCTGCGTTGTGGTAACCGCATCTTACTTTGCTCATCCACATCACCAACCCCATTCCCTCCCTCTCCCTGCTTCCCCTGCGTCTGCTGCAGCTTTTGCTGCTGCGTCTGCCATTCTCCTTGCCCCTCCTGTTTCTTCTCCTCCCCTTGCTGTACCCCCTGCTTTCCTCCACCCATCTCCCCTCCTCTCTCTCCCCCTCCCGCCCCTCCACCCTCGTTAATGCCACTTTTCGCGGAACCATCAAGCACCACAGCTTCCTGCACCGCCACTGTTTCTTGATCGGTGCGCCCCTTCTCTGATCCTTCCCCTCCCACCGCTAGCTCTATCCCCGCTGCTGCCGCTGCCTCGGCAATCCGAACACCGCCATTGCCGCCACTGATGCCGCTTTCACCACCACCAGCACCATCGCTACTATCATCCTCATTAGAGTCAGTGCTCGCAATGTGCCTGCCATGGCCATGCCCGCGCCTCTTGCTCTTCCCGCTGCTCCCCCCAAGCCCTTCCGCCTGACTGCTCTGCTCCTCCGCCGCCTCCTCCGACCCAAAAAGCGGGGTGAATCCGACCGGCAGCAGCACGCCTACCGAGCCTGCGCCGAACCAGGGCACGCGCTGAGCCTCGGCAAAGAACTTCGGGGAGAAGACCGAGCCGTCGTCTGCGAAGACCACGATGCCGTCGAGCCTGTGCTCCCGAACGTACCTGTGAGGTTCGGCAGAGGTTCGGAGGTCAGCATTTGTCAAATATAAGGTGGTGAAAGACGTATAAGCTAATACTAAGTGAAGCCCCATGCCCCAACAAATGACGGCACACCCACCCGCTCTCCGCGCACACCCAGCCCCTTTCCGCGCACACCCACCCCCTCTCCGCGCACACCCACCCCCTCTCCGCCCACACCCACCCACTCTCCGCGCACACCCATCCGCTCTCGGCGTACACCCACCCTCTCTCTCTGCACACCCACCCCCTCTCCGCGCACACCCACCCCCTCTCCGCCCACACCCACCCACTCTCCGCGCACACCCATCCGCTCTCCGCGCACACCCACCCCACGCACACCCACCCCCTTTCCACGCACACCCAACCCCTCTCCGCACACACCCACCCCCTCTCCACGCATCCAACTCTTCCCCACACACTCACCTCAGTCCCACGACTCGCATCCGTTGCTCAAGCAGAATCCGCTCGTCCCAATCCTCGGGCATTTCCTCCTCCACGCCCAGGTGCGCGATTTCCACCTCGGGATTGTCCGACCCGCTGTCCCCGATAGTAGCCTTCGCGATAAGCCGTGCGGTTTCTTCCGTTTTCGTCGCTTCAATCACCACCCACAGCACCGGCGCTTGTACCCGTTTTAGTGAGTTGATCAACCCTAGCATGAGCAGCTGCTGGAAGGTTCGTTTGTAGGTCGGCGTGATGACTATAACGCGGCGAGGGTTGAACGGTGAGAGCCGTCCGTCTTCCTGCGCGAGCAATCTCAGCCGTTCGTTCTCCTGCAGCAGTCTCAACAGCGATTGGCTGACCACCAGCTGACGTGGATCCGGAGACGGGTTCGGCCGGATGAGGATTTCGTGACGGCCGATTTTCACTCCGGCATCCTCATCGTCAATTCCCGCCGGCACGTTTAACGGTCCGTCAGATGTGAAGTTCCAGTGTAAGGCCAAGTCCCATTCGCAAGCCAAGGGATCGTGAAATTCTTTCACCACAGGTTTCGGTTGATCAAAACTGGACATTGTCGGTGAGATGCCAGTTTCAGCCATCAGAAAGCGGTCTGTAAACGCGTGCGGATCGGCACTTGGTACTATATCGAATCGGGCTAAATCGGAGCTGTAGGAGCCTATACTGGAGCCTGGACGGAGAATAAGAATCTCCCTAGCGAGTCGTAGGCCGAAAAACATAGCCGCCGAGCAGGCGAAGAAATGAACAGCGACGGGTAACACAAAGGCGAGGTGAACCATGAGCCATCTAAAGAGACCTAAGTGGTGTATACTATGGAGATGCGAGTACGAGTCCATTTGGCTTCGTTTTAGAGCACTACTTTGTCGCATGCCGCTGTGCGACGACTGCGACGACGTTTCGTTACTATTCGCCTGATCGGAATCAGAGGCCGAGCCACTGCCACTACGACCTGATACGCGACGGACACGGATCATCAACGCACGAGCAGCTCCCACTACCTTATTTGTCATACAAGCGATGTGCGGACTATTAACCTTGGCCCGTTAGCTGACTCAGCGTAGGATACTACTCTCGACGGCTAAGAAGCGGCTACGCGCGTTGCGACAGGCGCTTGTTGCGCCGAGATTCCCGCGCCATGGCTCGCTCACGAGCCTACCCGATTATGCTTGCTCTACCCTAATAATAGCACCACGATAAGCTGACCCAGCCTAAACCGAGAGGCAGGAGACGAGGAGAGAGGAGACAAGGGGAGGGGAGGGGAGACAGGCCGGCGTAGGAAGCTAGCTGGCTGGTCGGATCGGGTCAGGAGGAAGGCTTATGGGCTGCCCCGTACTCAAAATTGGTCAAGTTTGCTGATTCGTCCTAGACACACACGGACTAATCTCAGGCGTTAATGAGTGACAGTAACGAGCGAGGAGTAGGCCGGCTCGAGGACAAGAGGCCAGGTAATCGAGGAGACGACGGGCAAGTCGTACTGCGATTCGTTCCTGCGCTGCGACTGTTTGATGAGTTTGCAAGCGCGTCGCTTGTATTGCGAGTAAAGTGGCTGGAGAGAGAGCGGCGACGAAGGGGGTAGTGCTTGTGGGATAGGCTATGAGAAACAAATTCCAGGACACAGAAATGAAGGGCAGGCGAGAAGCGAAATGTTTTCTTTGGAACTTCCTCGCTCCCAGATTCGTTTGGAAGGAAGCGAAACTCTCCTAGGGAGGAAAAGAACGGGGTAGGGAGGGTGCGGGAGGGGGTGGAGTGGGATGTGTGGGGTGGGGAGTGGAGGAGAGGGCGGGCCTGTTGGGTGAGCTGTACATCCGTCTCCCGCCAAACGGAAGATGTGACTGGTGGGGAAAACTCTGATCCAATCGTCGATTGTTTTTTTGAACGGACGGAGCCGATGCAGCAAGGGTGAACATCATCGGCAGATCGATGGCTGGTGTGAGGTGGATGCTTGTTACTGTAGAGCTGAGGAGAGAGGGGGGGGGGGGGCGGGGGGGGGGGAGGGGGAGGTGGAAGGGGGGGGAGGAACGGGCTGGAGGACCCGCCAACAGGGGTGGGGAGGTTGGCGCTGCTGCTGGCTGAAGGTGTGGAACGGTAGTGGTCGAGGCGCGAAGTGTGTGTGCCACAGAAACGGACGCAAAACTTTCGATAGTGGATGTACACTCGCTGAACTGTACCGTACTGTTCTGCGGGTCTCTGTTTCAGGTAGAGCGCATTCTCCTGTGATTGGTCAAGCACTCGACACAGCGCAGGACAAGCTGGCCTGGGCAGGTCCGAGACGCAGTTCTGTGCTTACACATGATGCCTGATTGAGCCCCTCCCGGTTGCCTTGTGAAAGGGGCGTATAAGCTGTATCGCGCGTTTCGCATAAGTTTCGTCAATTCGCAGCTAGCTAAAAAGGATTCGCAGGTGCTTATAAAAGGATCTGTAACCTTATCCGTTGACATTTTGACTTCAGTCTCTTCAGTTTGACTTCGATCTGTTCGTTACAATTGGTTCATAATTACGCGACGCGCTTGTACCGTGGGTGCAACAGGCTGGGGAAAAAACCTCGGGTGCAGCGTTTCCATCCGGTGCAGAGCAAATTCGCGTGCATGGGGTGGGCATCACTTGTACATTGGTAAATCGAGCGCGGCACCTTCAATGTCAGAGACGTGCCCAGAACTTGACGTCGCGCAAGCGGGTGATTGGTGACGACTCTTCGTGTGTCTCACTTGGTCGCAGTGCAAGCTCCAAAACAAAAGTCGTAAGGAGCTTTTTGATAATAATACACCGCTGAGGCTGAACAACACTTAGGACCCATTTTCAATCGATTAGGAAACATGTCATTTAATGATTTGCATCCAGATTCTTACTGATAACTGCATCAATGCTTTCACGGACACAGCACCAAATGATCTTCGCTTCATGTTATTTTGGACCTTTAGTCTACATGAAATTTGAAGTCAGGAACAGATAAGGTACCGTATGCTACTAAATTCTCACACTTCCACCAAAAGTGGAGATTGTAACAATGGGAACCCTGGACAAAAATATAGTAGATGCACCATCATCACAATGCCCTGTGCCTTCATCCCTATGGCACCTGGGATCTGTCCCTTGCCGTACCAGCCCACTTGATAGGGGATCAGGCCCAGGAAGGGTTGTGATTAACGATCCCACGCCAACACCACTAAATCCCACCCCTGGTGCTAGAACAGAGGCAGCTGGAAGGCCTGCAGTTGAACCAGTGTAATCGGTAGTCGAAGTCGCAGCGTCCACCTGGACAGTGGTTGTGACAGGGTTTGCAGATGCTGTTTGCGTCTGTGAGTTCTCCTGTTGCACGTTGGCGCTCCCCAGCCCTGTTCCATCTTTCACGGCACGAGCTGCTTGGTTGTTCACTGCTCCCTGATTGTTGATGCTTCCTGCGTTGCCCAACTGAAATGGACACAAGAGGAGAGCGTCACACGGAAGGTGGTTCGGTTCTTCTTTGTTACATATCAAGGTGAGGATCGACCGAAGTTAAAGTACAAGTTCCGTCTCGTTTCCCCCGAGAATGCTTACTTGTTTGTAGTAGACGTTTCCTGCACCTGGACCAACTTGTTTGCGGCTTAAGTGGCCATCCTGAAAGGAAAACACCCAGCAAGAACGAAATCAGCTTGATTAAAACCGGGTCTTAATGCAAAGTCAGATAAAGAGGAGCAATGCGTGACCTCTATGATTGATCACAGCCGTCTACAGAAAATTGCACAAAAAGGAATACAAAGTACTAAACGAGGATCTAACGAGTAACGCACGAGAAGGAAGAAGACGTCGAAGCGCGCCCAGTCGAGCCTCTTTGAGAAGTGTCCTACGCCAGAACGAAGAGGTCGGCCGCCGACAAACGATGACTGAAACAAGTAAAGAAACGTCAAGAGGAACTTGAAGTTTCGGAAGCGGAAATTCATGATAGCGACGTTATAGAGGCTTTCGTGGAGGCAAAGAACACCGAAGTGGGACACAAATGGCAGAAATGCATCGTCCTTCTCACTATGATTGTCCCGGAATGACTAAATCTCCACATCATCGGAGGAAAAGGGGAAGGGAGCAGGACAGAGAGCACGCGCGCGTTTCCTAATGCTCATGCGAGAAAATCGAAGTGCGAATGGCGAGTTAATCAAGACGAGAACGAGTTTCCCTACTATCTGGTTTTCCCACTAGGTAACGAGTTGCGCTGGCGGACTAATCAACCATATGGAGGAAATTGCTTGAAGGTGGGGCGAGGCCCAAGCGAAAAAACAAGGGCCCATTTTGTAACCGAGTTGAGCTGCCTTGCCGTGGCCGATGCCACAATAGTATCGTCGCACGATTTCGCCTTCATTGGCTGGTGAGCTGGAATTGCTTCGAAATTGCCGAGCGAGAGGTCAAAAGCAGGTAGAACGAGAAACATGCACGCTGAACCGAGTAACCGCAATTCAACCACTTCTCGGGAACGTCGCTCTGCAAAGCCTCGCGCAATTCGTGCACTCTCCTCAATTTCGCAATATAAACCAATTCCCTTGCCAACAGCCAAGCACATTTTCGGGAAATTCTTCACAGAAGTCCTTCGGCAATTGGCGCAAAGGCAGCAGTCTCGATCATCGCTTCCGCTCAGATTCAAGAAAATGGTTGAAAAAACTCATGACATTGCGTTCTTATTCGGTCTGTCGTTTTTCCTCGTAGCTGTTTTTCCGTGCGCGGCTTCGTCGACAGAAGGACAGCAATTTGTAGCCGTTGATTTGGCTGGAAGGCAATGGCCAATGGTAGTGAACGTGTGGCCGTTTCTCGAGGCCAATAGCCGGGCATGGGAGGTGCTGACACGTGGCGGTTCCGCGCTGGACGCGGTGGTGGAAGGATGTAACGTGTGTGAGGTGCTTCAATGCGATGGATCAGGTGCCACGTCAGCATGAATTGTACCTCAAGAGCCCTCCGGCCAGTTATCTCCTCCAATCTCCTCGCGTATCCTCCCCTTTGCCCCCATACAAGCCCCACTCTTCTTTCCCTTCTTGCGCAAACCCTTCCCCCCTCTCCACTCTCTTCTCTCACGCTCCCTCCCCCCTGATTTTCCCTCCAGTGGGGTATGGAGGAAGCCCGGACGAGAAGGGCGAAACAACACTCGATGCCATGGTCATGGATGGGGTGAGGCGGGATGACGTCATGGTCATGCATGGGGTGACATGTGATGGCCTCATGGTCATACATGGGGTGAGATGGGATGACGTCATGTTCATAAAGGGCAAATCCATGACGTCATGGTGTGGTAGGATGTCGTGTCATCATCAATAGAGTGTATGCCTAGCCTAAGTTGGGTCATGTAAGGGCACACACAATTTCAGACAATTGTAACCCCCCAACCCCTTCTCCCCCCCCGCATCCATCCCTTCCCCCCCGCATGTCCTCCTTTTTTCAACCCTCAATCCCTCCAATTCCCAACTTCCCCACTCCATGTCTCCTCCATCCCAACTTCTCTCCCCCCCTTCTCCCCCTCTCTCCCCACTACCCCAAGTTATCAATGGACGGGGGGCAGTGGCTGGCCTGCGTCAAGTCAAGGCTTTCCCACTCCATGCCTCCACCCATCCCCCCTTTCCCATTCTCTCTCCCCCACTCTTCCCCCCACTCTCCCCCCAATCTCCCCCAGTTTCCCCCCCCCCTTTCTCCCGCCCCTCTCCTCTCCCCCCCAAGGACTCCATGGACTTGGGGGCAGTGACTCTCCTTGCCGAATCAAGGCTTTCCCATTCTCTTCCCCCCATCTCTCCCCCCATCTCTCCCCCCTTCTCTCTCCCACCTCTCTCCTCCCCCCCCCCTTAAGGACTCCATGGACGTGGGGGCAGTGGCCGGCCTGCGCCGAGTCAAGGCGGCAGTGCGGGTGGCGTATCTTGTCCTCTTGCACACGTATCACTCGCTACTGGTCGGTGATGCAGCAACAGACTTCGCCCTGGAAATGGGCCTGCCCGGCCCTGAAAATCTCTCCACCAATCGCTCTCTCGCCATGTGGCGCCAATGGAAGGCCGCCAGCTGTCAGCCCAACTACTGGCGCAACGTGACGCCCGACGCCGCCCGCTCCTGCGGCCCCTACCGCCCGGCTCCAGAAGCATCTGCTTCTGAACCACGTGGTGGTGAAACAGCCGTCCCTCAGGGGGCCGAAGCGGGTGCTGCACCTGGTGCCGGACCTGCTACCGGACCTCCTACCGGACCTGGAGCCGGACCTGGTGGTGCCGGACCTGCAACCGGACGTGGTGGTGTGAGCGTAGGGTGTGATCCCAGCCTTGTTGGCAGGCAGCAAGGCTCTTCGAGGAGGCGAAACCGGCTGGCATCACACGACACCATCTCCATGGTCGCCATAGCACAGGTGAGGTGCGGTGGGGTGCGGTCAGTTGCGGTGGGGTTCAGTGGGGTGGTTGGATGAGAGCAAGGCTGTTGTGGTGGCAGGCAGGCAGCATGGCTCGTTGAGGGGCGCAAGGCGGATGGCATCACATGACACCATCTCCATGGTTGCCATCGCACAGGTGCGGTGCGGTGGGGTGTGGTGCGGTGAAAGGCTGGATGGGGGACTTGGCAAGGCAAGGCTGTTGTGGTGGCAGGCAGGCAGCAAGGGTCGTTGAGGAGCACAAGGCGGATGGCGTCACACGACACCATCTCCATGGTTGCCATCGCACAGGTGGGGTGTGATGGGGTGGGGTGAGGTGAGGTGAGATGACAGGTTCTGGGCTGTTCTTTTGTCTCGGCCCAAGCCTACTCTCATGTGCCTGATATGTGTTGCCTGCTCTCAACTGCACTGCACATACACACGTGCCTCCATATCACCGTGCCTCCATGTGCAAGACGTCATTACCTCATGTGTACCTTGCCTATCATCATACCATGTGCGTGACATCATCACCCTATGCTGATAACGTCATCACCCCATGCCCATGACGTCATCACCCCATGCCCATGCCATCAGAACGGCAGCATGGCAGCAGCGACATCCACCAATGGACTCACCTTCCACATCCCAGGGAGGTATGTTGCAATCTGTGTCATCATCCATTCTTATCCCGTGTCTTCATTCCCAAGTCATCATGCTTACCACATACCCATGTCATCATGCTTACCACATACCCATGTCATAATGCTTACCACATACCCATGTCATCATGCTTACCACATACCCATGTCATCATGCTTACCACATACCCATGTCATCATGCTTACCACATACCCATGTCATCATGCTTACCACATACCCATGTCATCATGCTTACCACATACCCATGTCATCATGCTTACCACATACCCATGTCATCATGCTTACCACATACCCATGTCATCATGCTTACCACATACCCATGTCATCATGCTTACCACATACCCATGTCATCATGCTTACCACATACCCATGTCATCATGCTAACGACATCATGCCCATAAGGTCCTGCTCCTATAGCAAGACAAGGTCCCTATGTGGACTTGTGCATCAGGGTCAAACTTTTGCAAAAGTTCAAACTTTTAGAGAGTTGTTTCGAGGTTAAATGCGGAAAGATGAGCAAACGCGCCAAGTGCAACACGCCCTTACTTACTCACTCCATCAAGCAAAGGGGGGTGTGGGACAGGGGTGTGCCGACAATGCAGTATTGTTGTGCGCCGACTCAAATCACCCACTCACACACTGTCTGTCAGGGGTGATGCATTCTCACTCCTTCGCTCACTCTCTCACTCCCTCGCTCACTCACTCACTCACTCCGTCCGTTCCCTCTCATTGTTCCCAGGGTGGGTGATGCACCCATAGCAGGGGCAGGAGCATATGTGGACTCCAGAGTGGGGGGCTGTGGGGCAACAGGAGATGGTGACGTCATGATGAGGTTCCTGCCATGGTATGCTGACGTCATGGCCGTGTGTGCTTACTGATATCTCAGCAGTTGCTGACATCGCTATAATTTTCATTTGGAAACCACTACACGGAATTTTCACATAAACACATGTTAGATAGAGCCTACCCCCTCTCACTCCTCTGTACCCCTCCACTCTCTGCCCACTAATTCCTTTCTTGCTGCTTTCCCTTTGTTGCTCTTCCCTTCACTCTTCCAGCTTCCTAGCAGTCGAGCTCATGCGAATGGGCTCTACCCCAGCCTCTCTCTTTCTCCCTATCGTCATTCCTCGCTTCCCCCTCTCCCACGTTTCTCTTCCCTTAATATCTCAGCTTTCAAGCAGTTGAGCTCATCTGAATGGACTCGACCCGACCCTCCTCACTTCGGTCTTATCTTCGTTCCTCTCTTCCGCCTCTCCCACATTTCTCTTCCCTTTACTATTCCAGCCCAGGTTCCTAGCAGTTGAGCTCATGCGAATGTGCTATACCCCAGCCTCCTCTCTTTCATCCCATCTTCCTTCCTCTCTTCCTCCTCTCCCACATTCCTCTTCCCTTCACTATTTCAGCTTCCTAGCAGTCGAGCTCATGCGAATGGGCTCTTCCCCAGCTTCGGCTGCCGAAGCTGCCATCAGTCGCATCCGAGCCAAATTCCCAACCTTTGTGGGAGGCTTGGTGGCGGTCAACAGGTTCGGGGAGCATGGAGCAGCGGTGAACAACTGGGTGCTACAGTACACTGTAGCTTCGCCTCTAACTGACGGTACACCAAGAGTGTTTACGGTTCATCCCAAGTGTTGAGGGATTCTTTTGAAGTTAAATTTCAGTAATTCAACACTATAGTACGTACTACAATACTACAGTAGCTGTTTGTTAGCTTTCTGTGGCAAGCACGGTATCTGTTGATATTGTCTTACCTGGAAACTTGACAACACTATTCGCATGACATTACCAAGGATGTTCTGGTACCTGTTATAAGCATGACGTTAAGCTAACAGCACTACGCCTATAATTGAGCCACAAACGCTTCGAATACCTACTGCACTACGCATTGAGGGGACCCGATGTAACAATCACCCCAGGGAGAATGTCCCTGATCAATTCTTCAATCTCGTAAGAATCAGTAGCAACCTTTTGAAGGCACTTGAGACCCTTGAGCCACTTCATGCCTGACTCAGTGATGCTCGCATCCCGCAGCGACAGCTTCTCGAGCAGTTTCATATTCCTCAGGTGCTTGATCCCCGAGTCGGTCACTCCCGGAGGCAGCATGAAATACTTGAGAGACGTGAGGCCAGTGAGATGCTCCAGCCCATCCTCTGTCACTCCACTACCGTTCAGTGTGAGCCACTCCAGTGCCGTCATTTTCCCCACATGCACCATGCTCGCAGATGTGACCAACGCACACCCGGCTATGCACAGCGCCGTGAGCGCAGACAGCTCTTGCAGCCGAGCCACTCCCGCATCGGTGATCCTGGTGTGATTGGCAATAAAGACTTTCAGGCTCTTCAGCTGGTCGATGCCTTCCAAGGCAGCATTAGTTGCACCAGGAATACCCAGTTCCAAACGAAGCAGGCCTTTGAGAGAGTAGAGTTTCCGCATCCCTGCTGCTGTATAGCCGGAGGAGCCTCGGAGGTTGATGGAGGTGAGGGAGTGCAACGAGGTGAGGTGCGTGAGAGCAGCGTCGGTGAGGCAGGTAATGCCGGAAAGGTCCATTTGAGTTTGGTCTGGTGCAGCTGCCGCCCACAGCGTGAGCATTGCCTGCAGGTGGGGCAAACAAAGGCAGACGCGAACATGCCTATTTTGAGGCACCTCAAATGAGACGGAGGTTGAGGCGCTTTAGAAATAATTTGAGTTTGGCCTGGTGCAGCTGCGCCCACAGCGTGAGCATCGCCTGCAGGTAGGGGGGTAAACAAAGACAGACGCGACGCAAGATGACGGAAAGACAGCCGAAAGCGGGTACGTCACAAGTGAGGGTGACGTGGCTCTGGTGTGTACGTACCACCAGCCAGTAACGTGATGACCACAGCACAGCAGCACTCGATAGCAGGAGGCACAAGACGGCCCACAGGAGGCAATTGACGAGACGGCCACCAGCTGTTTCGTGCTGCCAGAAACACAAGAGTCAATTGATCGAGCCACTCACCTCCCATATCATCTTCCCTTCGCCACTCGTTTTCTCCAGCTTCGCCACTCGGCATGCCATCGCGTCCACCCGGCCCTTCAGCTCTTGGCAATCAACCTCCCATTTCGCATCATCCGCTGCATCCCGCTTTTCAATAGAAGCTGAAGATTCGACCACCGGTACTGCACCTCCGCAGGCAGCGGCATCGGGAGAACCAGCAGCATGTGCCATCTCGTCCCCCTTCCCCGCCTCCTCCCTCTTCCGCCTCTTCCCCTCGCGCCCCTCCGCGCCCGCATGTTCCCTCTCGCTGGCGTCGCTGCGCTCGGCGGGCGGCGCGTCCTTCTCCCGCGGCGCGTCCTTCCACTCCGCCGCCGCCAGCTCCACGTCGTTCATCCGCGAGTCAATGTGCGCCGCCGTCGCCTTCACGTCCGTTATCTCCGCCGCCTGCCGCTTAACCATCGCCCTCACCTCGTTCGCCGCGTCCCTCGCCTCGCTTTTCGCCCCCTCCAGCTGCTCCTTCAATCCTCGCACTTGCGACTCGAGCTCGTCTCGCACGTCCTTCACCCGCGCCGCGATCAAGGCCTCCACCAGGGCCATAAGCGCCTCGCCCTTCGGCGGCGGCGGCTGCGCTGGGAGGCCGTCCGCGTCCTTTCCGGCCGCGGCACTGCCTGCGTCGTGATTTTCCCCCGCTCTCATGATCTCCAACGCCCCTTTCGCCAACGCGCGCCTCATTTCGTCCACCTCTCGCTTCAGAGCAGCCATGGCCCCGCCTTGCTTCTTCACCTGCGCTTCCAACTCATCCGGCGATCGCTCCTTAACGTCTACGGTTATTTTCCCCATCTCTCCCGCTGTTTCCGCGGGTTGCACTTTCACAACTGCTCCGTTCACCCTCAACTCTACCCCTCCCGCCATCGCCATTTGCAACTCCGACCGCACAAGTTGCAACTCCGACCGCACAAGTCGAACTAGGAAGCGTCCGTATGAGGAAAGCTGGAAGCTGGAATGAGGTCTGAGCTGAGGTTGTTGAGTTGGGAATGCTTTTGAGAGTGGAGTTTTTACCTGGAAGTTATCTTCAAATGATGGCCGTTGGACTAGCAGCTAGATGGTCGCTACCCTGAGAACAGGCTCGTTTGCGTGTCGGACTGTCGCACATCACCTCTCACTGAACATTCAAATGCACAAACTTCATTCCCACGCACATTTGTGTCTTCGAACACATTGAAGTGTATGATAAAACCGCTTTGCACCTTGCCATTACCGTTCCAGACCCCAGAAAACAGTCAGGACTCTCATTTTTCATACAGTACACGCGTTCCCAACTCAGGAGCAATTTCGTGAGTATCACTCCCATGGACCCTTCTGATCCATCTGCTTAGATCGCGCTGGTACTTTTCACGTAGGAGCTAGAAACCACTTACTCGTCCGGGCAATAGCTGCTCGACCTTAGGATCTTAGGTTCCTAAGAAGAGTTGTACATTACGAAGGACACGAGCGGTTCTTAGAATCTGCAATATAGCAGCGTCTTGGAACGGCGAACCACTCAACGTAGCCTCAAGTTGTTGACCTTGATCTTCCATTCGGTTCCTCTGCTTCTCGCCATGGCGTGTGTGGTTCCTTCATTCCCGTCAGTCCTGTCGAACAGCAGTTTAGACCACACGCAGATCCGTGTTCGTCCTTACAGATCTCTTGATAAGAACCACACCCATCCAGTCAGATATGCCTTTCCGTCATGGTCGAGCCCGTACCAGCTCGGATTCAGCCCATTGGACCACTCGGTACGGAAATCCTTCGTCAGGATTCGAAACCCTGACCGGAGCGCTGCGATCAGATGCAATGCTAACAACGCTTCCGTGCCAGCAGACTCTCCCGAGACGGAGGTCGCAAAACTTAGAGTTGAACCGACGGCCGATGACAGGAAGAATGTTGGGGTGGAGTTTGAGACGCTTTGTGTGGGGAAAGTGGAGGTGGGTGCTGATCGAGTAGTTGGGGAAAAGCAGGGGGTAACAAGTGAAGTTGGGGGTAAGAGGCGTGGGAGGAGAGCAGGCAAGGCGAAAGCAAGAAGCGAAGGAAGCGGGAGTAAGAGCGGAGAGGGAGAAGCATCAGAGGAGGAGCGGGAGGCAGTGGCAGTGATTGCGCAAGCGCTGATGAAGAAATTCGGACCTCAGATTGTGAAAGAGGAGGAGGAGGAGGAGGAGGGGTTTGGGAACGGAAGGAATGAGGGAAGGGAGGAGGTGGAAGGAGGGGAAACACCGGATGCAACAACAGTGGCGGCGGCGGCAGCGGCGTCGGCGACCGAGGAGGTGGATGGAATGGAAACAGAAGTGAAGGAGGAGGAAGCCGAAGCAGAAGCAAGTGAGGAGGGTTCAGAGGAGGGTTTACCAAGCATGACATCTCGTCCCAGACGTGCTACCTCTCGCTCCTCCATCCTCTCCCTCTACCGCTTTTACTCCTCCCACCTCGACATCTCCTCCCCTTCCACTGTCGCTTCCCTCCTCGCCTCTAAGCCCCAACTCCTACGCTCCAATCCCACCAATGACTTCCTGCCACGTGTCCGTCTCCTCCAGTCCTTTGGCATATCTCATGCTGACATCGCCCACATCACATTGAAAAAACCAGCCTGGCTCCGAAGCTCCCTGCCACAGATTCAGAATGTGCTTGAGTTTCTTCTGGCTCAAGGCGTCCGCCGAAGCAGATTGGGCTCGGTGCTCCGACGTGGCCGCAACTTAATTCATTGGGAGGCACATTCAACGAACCTAGACATTCTGGTGGAGAAGGCAGGGGTTCCTGTGGACAAGCTGGGTGTGATTATAGAGGGATGCCCGTCTATCTTGACTCGGAAAATAGAGGCGGTGAATATGCAGCTTGAGCTGCTATCAGCCTCCCTGAAGGCGGGATGTGGAAAGAAGGTAGAAGCAGGTAGCACCAGCACAGGCCCCCTGAAGCAGCAACAAGATGAGCCGCATCTCCATTTGAGCAGGCTTATCATCAAACAACCGTCCATCCTCTCTATTTCCCAATATCACATTGCAGAAATTATTGCCATCCTCCAGTCCTTCGCTTCCCCAGACACCCCCTCCATTGTGGCCTCTGTGCTTCGGCGTGCCCCCACCATCCTTGGTTTCAACAAAGAAACTCTTTTAGCTAAGCTCCAGTTCTTTGTGGAGCTCGGGGGGGAGAAAGCAGCAAGGAGAATGGTGAGGAGCCACCCGACGGTTCTGAATCTATCGAAGGAGAACGTGCAAGGCAAGGTGGCGGTATTGGTCGATTTGATTGGCCGAGAGAACGCTGTACGGGTGGTGGCCCGATTTCCTTTGCTCATAGCGACCAGAGAAGCTGGCATGAGGGGAAAAGGTAATGAGAAGTGGAAAAGGTAATGGAGAGCAGTGGAGAAGAGGGGAGTGGAACACAAAGACTGCTGAAAGGCGAGCGTGGTAGTTCCTTGGAAGGGGCGATTGAGCTTCGATCATCTAACTCAGCTGAAGGTGACAAGAGATGCAGGGCCCATGAGTTGGTGGTGGATTTGGTGGTGAGGTACCCGCAGTCTATCAACTGCAGCTAGAAAACGAACCTGAAGCACAAGGTGGAGTACTTAAAACGGGACATGGGGCTCTTTATAATGGAGGTGCTTTCCTACCCGCCCTTTCTTGGGTACAGTTTGGATCGGCGAATCAGACCGCGTCATGTGGCACTGGAACGAATGGGCTATGAGGTTGTGACACGCGAGATGGTTAGTCGGACAAGTTTTGGAGGCGGGAGGAATCTTTTGATTGGAGCTGGGGAAGAGAGGAGCAAGCTGGGTTCTGTGTCTGACAACGTGGAGGGAGTAGAGGGGATTGAATGGGGAGCGGGAGAAAGAAAGTGTGAAAAAGCGGATGACAGACAAGAGCAGCAGCGCGAAGGGGAGCAATGTGATAGTGAACTGCCACTTGAGGAACTCCTAGGCACTCACGAGGCAGAGGGGAGAGTTGCTACAGAGCAGCAGCTTGTGAAGTTGGAGGGGACAAAGAACATGGTGTGCTTGCAGCAGTTTCTTCACTGTACAGACAAGCAGTTTGAGAAAAGGTTTGGGGTCAAACTGTAGGGCTGCTGCTGATTGGATTCTTTGGCTTCCATTGTGCTGCAGGCCTCAGAGTCCATGCCTGAGGGAGAGGGTGTGCGCCAATGCCCGAAGTCAGTGTGTGTCTCTCCTCATTAGCCCCTCTCTCCAGAAATCGCCATTGCATCAACCACTGTGGGGGGGGTGGGGACGGAGAGAGGGGAGTGTTAGCAGAGGGAAATGATAGCTGATGGAAGGTGATTGCGGCAGGGGTAGCGGGGGGGGCTATTCTAAGGGCTCTGCTTTTCTCTCTGGTTTTGAAGTTTCTACTGGTGCTCGAGGGGAAGGGGGGGGGAATACCAGAACTCGCAAGCAGCAGCAGCAGGAGGAGCAGGAGTGGCACAAAAAGGAGGAGGGGATAGTGTGAGCGCCACAACCTTGTTGCTGGGTCCTATGTTGCTGTTATATGGGACTGGAGGGGATGTAGCTGCTACAGCTGCCTCGGCCCTGCTGGACCTGCTACAGCTGTTGCTGTGGGTGGCGGTGTCTCCGGCTGTAGCAGAGGAGTTACTGTTCAGAGAGCTGCTGCTGACGGCCCTGTAAGAGAGGCTCGGCAGGTGAGATGCTTGGCAGGAGGCTTGGTACTGAGGTTGGCAAGGGCTTACTGCTACCACCTTGTTTCTGGTTTGATAACGCCCTTCATTTTCATAGCCCACACTCTCTCATCAATCTGATGTCAATTTTCTTTCCTATCCTCACACGCTTGATATCGTCTTTCTTGTATTCCCCTCCCTTCCTCCATGCATTATCCCCTTCCCTGCCTCTCTCCCCTTCCCTCCCTGGTTTCCACCAGGATCGACGCTGCCATGCTGTCTGCAGCCCTCTTCGGCCCCTCTCCCTCTCGCTGCTCTTCCCGAACATGGCCCTTGGGCGGCCTTCTCGCTGTCTACTCCAGTAGCGTCTTGCCAGCTGTCGCTCTGCATATCGCTTACAATGCTTCTGCTCTAATCTACGCACTCATGGCTACGACGATTGCTTCTGTTTAGCAGGCGGTAGTACAAACAACTGGTTCCTTCACAGGTGCGGAACATCCAGAAACCAGGAAAACAGTCTGGACAATGCCCAACTACCGCACCGGCGTTCGGTCCGGACCAAGCCTGGTTCGTGCCTCCAAGTTGGTATCGACCATGGTGTCTGGATGTTTCATGTCAGTTCTCCACGATAGCAACGCTAATTGGGTAAATGAAACAGTGCAAACACGGGTTTGATGAGCCCAAAATTTTCCTGATGGGTGATGTATCCAGGATACCGTAAGTGAGATGAAAGAACTCAAAGACTCGTAAAGGAGATGAGATACAAGATCACAACTTACCATGTACTGAACCGCTGCTTTTCCCGAGGTGAAACTCCCGCCATCCAGCGGGCACAGCAACCACAGTTACAGTTTCTGGCGAAAACAGCATCGGAGCGGAGCTCTGTTCGTTCGGTCAAATCTCAAGCCTAGGTGAAAATTTTTCGCCAATCCCCAGGGCATTCGCTTAGCACCTGCTTAACCACTCTGTATACCTATTTGACAGTTTGTAAACGCACAGCACCTTATCACGCCGCACCGCTTCACCTTTGTGATTGTCACACTCGTCTCCTCGGAAGCCCCAAGGAACCCACACTCAAAATTGAGTGAGGGGATTGCCCGTCATGAGCAGCTAGATGCTGGATAGATGAAGCTAGATAGCTATTCTAGCTAAATGGGAGCTCGAGGCATCAATAATCCACTGAGATAGTATTCAGCATTCGATTCTCTAAT